AGATAGCGGTTCGTATTTCACTTTTTCCTCTTTGTGCATGCAGTGAATTGTCTCTTCGGCCTAGGAAAGATCGATACGAGAAGAACATGAACGAGTATCTCATCACGGAGCACGAGGCAGCCACCTACGAGCAGATCAATGAGAAAACTCTCAGGGAGGAGACGCAGATCAGTCGAGATCGTGTTGGCTCAGTTGACTTGGCCGCACCGGAGCCGGAAGGGGTCCTCCTTGATGGCAGTCACAGCGAGACCTGCAGTGACTCTGGCAGTGAGGGGTCCCCCAAGAAAGGGAAGAAGCACAGGTCTGGCCACAAAAAGCAAAAGAAGGATGAGGTTGAGGAAGAGCGCATCATGGAGGCATCTTTGGGTGTTCCATTAGGCACCATGCACGCGTCCAAAATTGCGCAGGCTGCGGAGTCCATCAGCGAGGTGATGAACCAGCTCCTCAAGTGCCAGGCGAAGTTGGAGCTGACGGCGAGCAAGCTGGAGATGATGAACACGGATGCTGCCGCATCGACTTTTGGCTGACATTAAAGCCGAAGCTGCTTCATTGCGAGTTCATGCATGCATGACGGAAAAGTATCAATTCGGAGCGGCTTTCTCGTTGCGATTGTGGGCCCGGGCTTGGGTTGGCCGATTCAATTGAGGGCTCTGAAGGGCCTCAACGTGCACATTGCAGCCCTCATGAGTGGGCATGATGACTTGGCGAATTACAAGGCAGAGCTTGACACTCGTGGCAAGCTCCCGGAGCAGATGCTTGGCTAGACTTGCTGCAGATGTGTTCCCAATCTTGGGTGACTCTTTTCGCTTCAGCTCTTGCATGCCCGGTGGTTGAGGAAAACAGCTCAGATGGTCGAAGCAATACGCGCTGTGGAAGTGAGGCTCAGCAACATGTTGTGCGAATCTGCGCGCGCGTTTCATATATGGCCAGGGCATCCCGGGCGCAGATAGAGGAGAACAAGTTGAAGAAGTGCCCGAGTTGCATCTGTTTTCCTTTTACGGGCTATAGTGCGACATGCAGCGTAAAATTTGCAAAGGACAATTCTGAAGAACGTGAAGCGGGCAGTGACCGATAGCGATGTGCCCGCGGAGACACCCAAAGGTGGGAAAGGCGAAAACTGTGAGAAAAAGAAGGAGAAGAAAAAGGAGAAAACGGAGAAATCGAAGGAGACGAAAGCGAAGGCAAAGAAGGTTAAGGGTAAGACCAAGCGCGACTAGAGGCCTGCTTGCCCTTCCCTTTCCCTCCCATTTGATGCCAACCGTCCCCGGTGCAGGTCGTCTGAGATGAATGGCGGAATGGCAACCATTCTGCGTGGATTCGGGCTTGCATAGGAATGCACATGGCCTAGACGCACGCATGCACTGGCCAGTGAGTACAGATTGCAAGAGTAAGATTACCTGGATCGCAAGTTGCTGCTTTTTCCATGCACTTTACCCCAAAAAACCAGCAACAGTGACTGAAACAAACAGCAACTTGGCTATCTAGGTATGCTGGGCTTGTGCATTCCAATGTGTGGGGTTTAGTTTGGCCGATACGGCTGAATCTGGCGGAGCAGAAAATCTCTGCAAGGGGAAACGATCGGAAAAGGGTTGTCTGTCCGGTGCATGGTTGCGGCTTGATGCTCATCGCAGATTGCAGATGTCCTTTTTGCATGGTACAGGCATGCATGTTTCTTGGAGTCGAGCCAGCAATCCGCGGCCCTTCGCAGGTGCCTCCTTCAGCGAGCAGGTGCAGAAGCGAAGCCGCGCGTGTGGGCCTTTGGGTAGAGCCATTGCTCGCGCAGTGGGAGGTGGTGTGCCTTGGAAGAAAGCGCATCCATTTCTTATACTTTTGGTGTCGGTGTTCGCCCCCTTCTGGTTCAATTAAGTTCATGCATGACTGAACAATTTAGGTGAGCGAAGCGGCGGCTTGCCAGTTGGCGCATGCATTCTACGATGAAGCAGCGACTGTTGGGGACGCACAAACTATGCCCAGTGGTCAACTGGTTCGGTCTATGGCAAATTTGCACCAAACAGGACATCCGAACCGCTTGCCATCGCTGTTTGTGGACTACGGGCTACAGGTTGATTGCGAAGTGTCCGATGTTGATATTGGGCTGGCGCAACTCCATCCCACCCTTGGGGTTTCAGAGTATATACAGGCCCTGTCAAGGGCTGGACAGCTGCAGGTGTTGATGCAAGGCCAAACGTTGGAGAGCTACCAATCGTTCTGGCATAAGTATCAGCGCATTCGCCCAGAGCACCCGTGCTTCAAGAAGAACATGTGCCTCAGCCGGTGTGTGCCTTGTTTCCTTCACGCAGACGAGGGTACGTCTATCAAGAAACGGGGTGTTCTTGTGCTGTCGCTGCAATCGGCTCTTGGGGCCGGCAGTCGCAGATCCGCCGATGTAAACTTCTCAGGTGACACGTTCCTCACGCGCATCCTCTTTAGCGTGATGATGACGAAAACCTATGCGAGAAACAAGGCGCCGCTCTATGCTTTGTTGAGTCACTTTGCAGACAGCTGTACAAATGCGTTTGAGAATGGCATAGAGGTGGTCATCAATGATCAGCGTACCAATTTGCATCTCTGCATTCTGGGGCTAAAGGGCGACTGGCCAGCATTGACGAAATGCGGGCGTTTGAATCGACATCATCTGAGAGACGCTCCTGGGAGCAACAACCCAGCAGGGATTTGCCACTTGTGCCTTGCAGGCCAAACTGGCTATGCCTGGCACGAGTGGGATGACTCTGCAGCTTGGCTGGACACAATGGACACGGCGCCTCTTCCTTGGACTACTCCTTCACCTTTGATGAAGATCCCGCATGATGAAGCGGACAGTGCTGACTTTTTCAAGATCGATCTCTTCCACACAATGCATAAAGGGGTGTTGGCAGATCTGGCAGCCAGCACAATAGCCACTTGTGTATATATATAGCTTCAATTGGTGCGGGATGTTTCGTTTTTACGGGGTCCAATTTTGGGCACCATTGCCCCGGCCCAGGTGACTTTGATCGAAGAGCTGCGGATCTACGGTGAGGGAAGCGTGGCGAAGCGCTTGGACGCTGTGTACAGTGATCTGGTAGTCTGGTGCGGTGCGCGTGGCAAGCAGCTGCACATGTCTAACCTGAGCACCATCCTTGTTGGCTGGAAACGTTCATCGGACTATCCAACTGGGACCCTTTTCACTGCATGTGCAAATTTTGTTGAAAGTTTTAGGCTTTGTGTTTGAGTGTTCTTTCGTGTTTCGGGCAATTTTGGTGCTGAGGAATTGGTTCAAAGGCGCTGACACCACGGTACTCACAAGTTTCTTGCAGTGGCGTTGTGAGCGGGCGCTGGCTGATTACGATGATGAGCACGAAGACTACTTGCAATGGATCACTGATGCTCTACAGGAGGGAAACCTGTTCATGGCTGAGCTGTACTGGCAACCCTTTTGGCTAAAGCCTTCAGACGCTGCCAGGATCGCCGCTCATGGCAAGAAACTTCTCTTCTTGTACAGCCGCTGTGCAAGCTACGCTTTTGCTCGCAAGTGGACACGCTACAAAATTAATCCTAAGTTTCATATGCTTGCCCACCTTATCCACTCCTTACAGCGTGGAGGGGTGGGGGATCATGAGACAGTCAATCCGATTGCACATTCGGTGCAAATGGATGAAGATTTTGTTGGGAAAGTCTCAACATTGACAAGGTCGGTGTCGCCTAGACTAATAGAGTCACGGACTTTGCAGCGCTATTTGGTGTGCGTGGCCACGCGATGGTAGCGAGTTCCGAACCGGACCGATTTGGCGATGTGGAGAAAACAATTTGCCGCTTGAGCCAAACTTGGGTTGGGAAAACCGCCACTTTCCTGAAAGTGACTGAAATTCGGTCACAGTGATCAGTTCACATTTAAAAGTGTATATAGGCTTTCCAGGCATGGTTTTTTGCGAGTTCTGCGGTGCTCGCGCGACCCTCTGCGGGGATCGGCGTGTTCGAGGTGCAAAAACCCATGGTTTTTTTGCGATTTCTGCGGTGCTCGCGCGACCCTCAGCGGGGATCGGCGTGGTCGAGGTGCAAAAACCCATGTTTTTTTTTGCGATTTCTAACATGTTCGCGCGACCCTTTGCGGGGATCGGCGTGGTCGAGGTGCAAAAACCTATGGTTTTTTGCAATTTCTGCGGTGCCCGCGCAACCCTCTGCGGGGATCGGCGTGGTCGAGGTGCAAAAACCCATGGTTTTTTTGCGATTTCTGACATGCTCGCGCAACCCCCTGCGGGAATCGGCGTGGTCGAGGTGCAAAAACCCATGGTTTTTTGCGACTTTTGTTGTTCGAACTGGTCCTCGGGAGTTGTCTCGTGGTTCGCGCGCCTGCTCCCGGAACCGGCGGGTCGCGGGTTCCATTCCTCCCTGGTCCGCGGGCGGGCGTCGCAAGATGCAACTTGCATTCTCAAGCAACTTGTGCAGAGCAACTTGCGCAGAGCAAGTTGCACAGAGCAACTTGCGCAGACCAACTTGCACCGACCAGTTTGCGCAGAGCGCCTTGCCTAGAGCAACTTGCGCAGAGCAACTTACGCAGAGCAACTTGCACAGAGCAACTTGCACAGAGCAGCTTGCGCACAGCAACTTGCAGGGAGCGCAATTTGCACAGAGCAACTTGCCACTTGCAGGGACCAACTTGCCGGAGCAACTTGCGCGGAGCAACTTGCGCAGAGCAACTTGCACAGTGCAACTTGCGTAGAGCAACTTGCGCAGACCAACTTGCACCGAGCAGTTTGCGCAGAGCACCTTGCCTGGCGCTGTCTCGCGCTTGCTTCACAAATGCTTCGTGGAGGGAAAAAGAACGCATCCTGCAGCGTTGGGCCGACCTCGCTTGCGATGTTATGCTTTCGGGCCAACTGTGGTCTAGTTTTGGTGGCTGCCCCACTAAAGTGATCTTCCCCAAATAGGGTTCCCTTCTTTTTCCAGAGTCACTGAACAACTGAGCTTCCCAAGTCGTTGGGAGATAAATTCCAACGGTAGCCCGCCAACAATCCCCGCAGGATGGCTCACCGTGGTCAGCTGGAACCGAATCAATCAGCTGATGCTGCTGGGTGATGTCTTCGATGGCTTCGTGGGTGAGTTCTCGGCGAACATCAAGCAGTGGCAGGACGACTCGATTTCCGTGTGTCGAGTGGCAATTGTTTTTTTTCCAGGACCCTACCTAGGTGGTCGGGGACCAATCGCTAAATGATGAGGAATCCTGGTTACTGGGGGCTTGCAACCATGGTAAGTGGGTTGCAACAAGGGTTACTAGCCACTTAGCTAACTCGCAGGCCACCCGAGTAGTCAGAGGCGGCTCTGAACCCCTTTAAAATCGATCACTTCCTGACAATTTTGGGGGAACCACCCCTGATCAGAGGTCTTGTTCGATTGGTCCAAAGTTCACATGCCGCAAAATGAGGTTGGAATTAGATCTCGGGTCCGAAAGGGTCCCCTGCAAAGATGCAGCTGAGACGCGCCCAAAGCCTGGCCAGAGTGTTACTCCAATATTGATTCAGAGCCAGGGGCAAGCGTGGGAAGGCCATGATTATGGTCATGGGTCAAACCCCTCCAGTGAACATCCCAATCCAACCACTAAAATAGGTTCGAAAACGGGCGGTGCACCTACCCCAAAATGGTACCGTTGGTTTTTGACCTACAGCCTCCTCTTGGTCCTTGCCCGCGAATGGACATTCGCAAGGTCACGCAAAAGATTCGCTTGCTATGGCTCTGAGTGACTAGGACGTCTTTGACAGCGACACGCCTGCTGATGTGGAGTGGCCCAACAACTTCAAGTTGCCGCTTGTCCCAGCCTGCGTGCGGCGGTGGGTGCAACGCGGCTCCCGCGCCGGCAACGCCCCTTTCAAAGCTTTACCTTTCTGATTGCATGAGTCATATCCTGCCGGATGTTTGGGTTTCAGTCATTGCCACCCTCAATCTCTAGCATCTGCTTAATTGCAGGGAGTTGATCGGGTGCGGAAATGATTTGGCTTTGTCTCCGGATGGGGGAACCTTCGCAATGGCTTGCGTGAAGCTCCCTTTGAAACAACCCCAAAGGAGCATCCTCGGAACAGACAGTCACCAAAATTCCCCGCGAGGGTGTCCAGTACTTTCCCCAACAGCTATCTGGGGCGCGGCTCCAGCGTGGCGAGTTCTGGTTCCGAGGCTTTGAGGTTAAAGTTGAGTGCGGGTGCAAAGGCTTCTTTCCTGTTGCTGTCGGGGATACCAATGCTTGGAGTCTCCATGACCCTTAAAAATGGGGGGTCATTACCGCTGTTGTTGGGGACTCCAGATGTTTGTTTTTGAAGCCTACCCGGATCCAGGCAAGCCCTGAAACGTTGGCAAAGGGAACCTTTCTGTGAAACCATACCCAGTGGATGCCAGGCAAACACACAGTGGGAAACCCCGCTGTTTTCCTTTTGGTTTTTAGATTGGGTGGTTCCCGCCCTTGGTTACCTTTCGTTCCTTTACCAGGTACATGGATCTGGTTTCGCTGAGAGAACTCGTGATTAGGAAGTGCGCTCCGTTGCAGCGGGCATTGCTGCTCTTCGCGCTTCGCCCGGACAGCACGGTGGGCGCCCTGCTGCAGGTGGTGCAGGATCCTCTCTTTTTTCCGGGCCGCGACAGGGGCCGAGGCTGGCTCGATAGGCAGGGCCCCAGTGTTATGGAAGCACCCAAACATGTTGCCCCCTTGTGGATTCCGTTGGCACAGTCCAAATCAGGTCCGTTCTTGAACAACCCTCAGATGAGAAACTGTCAGCATTTCTGGTAGTTAGTCTATTTCTGTCGGGAAGGACATGGGGGGCCCCCCAATTTTCCCCTGTGCTATGGGGAAGAGGTTTGTCTCAGGATTAGGACCTTTTTCCTGGTCCTTTGACCAGCCCAAGAAAAGCAAAAGACCAACCCACACGAAGCCCCGCATGCAAAACTACTGGAGGTTGGATGAAAATTAGTGGCAAGCTGAAGCTCAGCTTCCTAGATTGGTTCATCAGTGAGCTCATCAGTTTGGAACAAAAGGCAGGGAGTAACTCTCCCAGTGCTTCCAGTTACCACTATAGCAAGGTAACCGCACTGCCTGGAGTCTCTGTCTGACCCTTTCAATAAGAATGGGTCAATGACCAACCAATCTTTTGGGTAAAGACCCATCCCATTTCTATCCGGGTCCTTAGGGAGACTCCAGGTGGATCTGGTAGACTGGCCCAGTGGATCCCAGGCAAACCCATTTAGTAGGCAAGCCTGCGCTATGTTCCTGTACCTTCCTTTTGTGGCGAAACGCCAATGGGAAGCACTGGATCTGATGTGGCTGCGGTTGTCGAAAATAGGTTAACCCCAAAATGGGTTGCCCTGGTAAATGGAAGCATGGACGAAAAAATATGTGGTCCAAGTCCTGGTTTAAGTTTTGACCCAAATGTTTCAAGCTCCGCAGGAGAAGCTGGGCACCTTCTTCCTGGAGCCTCCGCCTTTGGACTTGGAGGTGGGAGATGGATGTGATCCACCGAAATGGGTTCGCCGCGTGTTACAAGGGCTTCATCACCGAATCAGCGTCATGTGTATATATATATATATATGTATCTACATATGTATGTGTATATATATATATACAGATATTCGCGAGCAACCCAGAGGTGTCCTTTGGGCTAGAAATCGATGGGATTCCCTGGTACATGGGCCTGGAGTCTCCATGACTCTTAAAAAATGGGGGTCATTACCCAAAATAATGGGGTCATTGACCCATTTTTAAAGGGTTTATAAAGCCAAGGGGAGTCCATCTATTTCTAGCCAAACTAAGATGAAAAAGGACACCTTCATGCGCGACTACCCCTCCTGTCCACGTTTCCATGGAACCCTCCTGTCCATTTTAATGGAGAAAGGGTCAAACCAAGACCCCGCAAGGTCAGGTTCCATGTTGGTGGACAGGATTGTACCCCTTTTCCAACAATGGACGTGCCCTTGAAAGGGAGGACTGTAGTCACCCCAAACCCTCTTCTCAGCTGATATGATTGGCAACAGGGTCGGTGGTTGTTTGACATTCGAGAGGGGTGAGGTAAAACCTGTCTGTTCCCTCCTTAAGCAACCCGCTGACGGTTGCTTCAAGTAGGCCCCTAGAGTCTCCATGACCCTTTAAAAATGGGGTCATTACCCAAAATAATGGGGTCATTGAGCAATTTTAAAGGGTCATGGAGACTCCAGGTCGCTTAAAGTGGTTAAGCATTTTCAGGTGGTTCTCGAATGTGTCTTTCGGGGATGCCCTGAGGGCACTGCGGATGGATCCGAGTTTTGTCGGGTCATTAAAAAGGGAGATATCTGGTGCCCTTTTGGCAACTGGGGGTGTCTCGAAATGGGGGAACCCCTAGAAGTGTTCCCTTTGGTTTCCCTTTCAACCAACCCAACACAATGGTACTCTCCGAAAAGATGCACCCATGCAGCTGCAGATAGTCTCTATTTACCATGTGTTGCACGAATTACCTTTGGTCGGCCAACGAGTATCAACATCAGTTCCAGGCCTTCCCCCTCCCCCCCCCATTTTCTAGCCACGGACAAAATTGGATGGTCCGTTTCCACCGGTGTTTGCAGGTTGATATCAGAATTGTGGCGCTTCCCATCGGTTGTATTCTTTTACGGTGCGCAGAATATGACATACGAGCTCCTCTTCGGGCCAGTTAGGTGCTTTATGACAGGGCTTCATCCCTCCCAGCTGGTGACCCGGGTGACCGATCGGCGTGGATCTTCGCCAGGTGTGCTACAAGGACTCTTCTCCAACAATCCCGTTGCTTGGCGAAACGGCGTAGCTCGAAAGCCGAGGTTCGATTCTTGTCGAGCCAGGGTTTAGTTGCAGGTACTCCATTCTCGGGTTCTATTGGTGCTCTATTCTTGAGGATGAAATTCCCTGAAATAGCAAGGAAACCAATTCCTGAGGATTACACTTCCTTGAAATACAAAGGAAAGCAACAGCCAATGGGCCCCCCAAGCTCTGCCGATTCAGCCCTCCCACGTGACTGGGGAGTCATACTTACTCCCTGTGGAAAACTTTACTTTTAGGGCCACTTTCTGTGCTGCCAAGTGCACCTCCTTCAAAGTGTTGAAGTAGTCAAGTAGTCTTTGAATCAGCCATATTGGTATCACAGAATACCGGGTGATTTTCCACAACAATTGGTACACTGTGCGAATTCGCGGGAAAGCAAAGGAGATGATTACGATGAAACCAACATGCGGGACTTGTGATTTGTGCCAGCCCACCCGTAGGGCTAGTCGCCTCTAGTTTACCGTAATTTAACCCTTTGTTTGTGGTGGTTTCCATGTGCCATCTACTCTCGCCCACCTCTAGAGGAACAAGAGAAACTAAACTTACCATCATTTACCTGGGGTTTACCGTATTTTTTTACTGGGGGTTGTGGTGGGGTCCATAGGTTTGCCGTAATTTAACCGTTTGTTTTGTGGTGGACGGTGTGTGGCTTCCATAGGCTCATCTACATCTTGGCCTCGGGCAGTGACCCCATGGCCGACATCCAGAAGCTTGCGGAGATGCCGCTTGGCTCGCGCGCATGCGCAGCGTGCGGCGCGCGAGACTGAAGCTCGCGAGGGGAAGCGGTGACCAGCGACGGTTTTTGGGGCATTTTGGGACGCAGGAAGGAGATTCCCATCAAAAAACCCTGCCAAAAGCGGCCTCCATTTTTTGGACACAACGACTAGGTCCCCCAGCTAGGTGCCCCTTTTACCGTTTCTTTTTTGGGGGAGGGTTCCCCTACTAAAATAGACTACGGAAGAAAGGGTACCCTTATTCTCACCTCCCTCCTGGAGGACCTAGATGAGGAGATTCCCATCAAACTGCCTGGGGGTGGTTTCGTTGGCAAAAGGAGGCGGGAACTGACACCTGGATTGTGGAACATCAGGTCATGAGGCGTCTATTTTGGACATGTCCAAGATAGTTGGGTACCGGTTCCAAAGTAAGATGGAGGTTTCTCCAAACAACTGGCGTTGACAAGAGTTCCTTTCCACGCAAAGGGAAACAAATTCTTTTTCGAGATGCCACTATGAAGGGGAGCAGCCTGCGCCCATGGAGGATGGTTGCGACTGCGAGGGCAGCCGAGCAGCCGGGTTTGCAAACAGCAGCCTTCTTGGGGCTGCTTTTGTCGGAAAACAAAGGTACATCAACCATATGGGGTTTCCCTCATGTGCAGAAGCCCATTTGCCAACGGGAGAGGCAGCTTTGTTGTGGCCGACCTTCTGCCTGTGAGTGTTTTAAGAGAAACCAGGAGGGAAGCGATTTCAGTGGACCACTTTTCTGAGAACCCCCTTCCCCCTTTTTTTTTCCGGTGAGGCTCGACATGCTGGCGAAGATCAACCCCATCAGTCTGGGCCAGGGTCAAGGTCCCAAGGCCAGGGTCAAGGTCCCAAGGCCAGCGAGTTAGCGAGTCAGCGAGCGAGTTAGGTCTGAAATTCCTGCGGCTTGGCTGTGGTGATCCCTACAAATCCTCTTCGAGTCTGCAGGGAAAATAACGGGTTCTACAGGTTCTGATCGCGTGCACGAAAGGATTCTCATGCGTGTAGCATCCGATCGAACCCAGTTTGGTCAGAAAAGCAAAAAACACGCTGAGTGGCGGAACCTCATTAGGCTTGCTCTTTGGTGACCTTGTTAGTTTTCGGTGGGGAGGGGCGTATGCAGGGTTCCATTTTGAGGAGCCATTGCTTTCCTTCTTGACCATGTCTACAATTTCTAGGGGGTATTACAGTCAGAAACGCGAGCCATCACTTGAGGGTCCTGGATCCTTTCTCTTTGAGGCGACGCCAAGGGCTTCTTTTCTTTGGGGGGTCCAGATCTCAAATGGCTATGAATCAAAATGGGGAACTCCCTCAGAAGTGGTTGTTAGGCATGCATCCCCACCCAAATGATGTCCGCCAAACAGTCCCCAGTTGTATAACATTCCTGATGCCGCTTCGGTGTATTTGTGCAGGCCATCGCCGGCATCAACGAAGGATCCCAGTCGGGCAAGTGGGCATGCCTGGCAGAGTTGGCCAACTGAACCAGCTGTTGGTTTCTTTGAGTCGTCTTGTTTTGCTTCGCTTTGTGTTGTGTTTGAGATTGTTGCGTGTTGCTTGCCGTTGTTTGGTTTGGTCTTGCTTGTGTGGTCGCGTTTGTTTGGTCTTATTTGTTTTCTTGTGTCTCATAGTTTGTTGGTTTGTGTATTGATTGTTTATTTGTTTGTCTTATGTTGCTCTTGTGTTTTGTTGTGTGTGTGTTGCTTTGTTTGTTTGCTTGATTGTTTGTGGTTGTTTGTTTGTTGAAGTTGTTCGGTTTGTTGTTTTCGTGGTTTGCCGGTGTTTCTTTGTGTTGTGTGTTGTGTCGTGTATGGCTTTGTGTGATTTGTTTCGGTTGGTGTTGATTCGTTTTGTGTTGTCAGTGTGGTCTGGTTTGCTTGGTTGCTTGCTTGTTTGTTTGATTGATCAATTGATAGATCGATTGTCATGTAGTTGTGTTGCTTTGTTTTGTTGCGGGTTGTTATGCCGTGCGTGTGTTTTGTGTGTGTGTGTGTTCTGTGTGTTTGTTTCTTGTACATCTTGTTTGTTTATTTGCGTTGGATTATGTTGTGTTGCTGTGCTATTTATATCTATATATTGTGGTGCTGGTTTGTTTTGTTTAGTAGAACTCGTTAAGAGAATCACATACGGTGTTTACTAGTACTATACAAAGCTATTTCAATGCATGTGTTAGACACATCTTACAGGACCGTGTTGAGTTCGCACACATATGAATCGTGATTATGTACAATGAACTGAGAGTTTTCTACAAGATACTGTTGTCTATCTGTTTGATGAGCATTATAAATATATATAGAGAGAGAGAGTCATGGCTTATTTGATAATGATATCAAGGCATATATTTGATTAAACATGTCAGACATTGCTACAGATGGCGAGTTAGATATATGATATGTCTACAGGACATCTGCAACATGTGATCAACTAGATGCAAACATCATTAAGCACGACGCGTTATATCAGGTTATAACAGTAAACACTACACATTAATGCTTACTATCATGTTTGATTGTGACATGTTTGGCTGTGAAGAAGAAACGCTACGTATGTGTTGTTGGATTTGTTTGGTCTTGTATGATGGCTTGTTCGCTTGTTCGCTTGTTTGCTTGCTTGCTTGCTTTTGCTTGCTTGCTTGCTTGCTTGCTTGCTTGCTTGCTTGCTTGCTTGCTTGCTTGCTTGCTTGCTTGCTTGCTTGCTTGCTTGCTTGCTTGCTTGCTTGCTTGCTTGCTTGCTTGCTTGCTTGCTTGCTTGCTTGCTTGCTTGCTTGCTTGCTTGCTTGCTTGCTTGCTTGCTTGCTTGCTTGCTTGCTTGCTTTGCTTGCTTTGCTTGCTTTGCTTGCTTGCTTGCTTGCTTGCTTGCTTGCTTGCTTGCTTTGCTTGCTTGCTTGCTTGTTTGATTGATTGATTGATTGATTGATTGATTGATTGACTTGCTGTTTCCTTTTTTCCTGCTTGTTTTGACAAGTGAGTCACGGATCAATTTATATCCTTGTAAGAACATGTATGTTGGCCCTTTTTTACAATGTTATGAAGGTGTTTTTGCTTGTATACGTGTTCGTTCCCTCCCGCCAAACATGGATTGGTGCATAGGCTGGTAAAGAGGAGGGCTACTTGCTACTTTCCTTTTGAGAAAAAAGTTTAGCCTGTGCGCCAAAGTCATGTTTTTTGATGGCATCACAGAAGTGATACGGCAATGAAAGGAATTGCATTCAGACTTCCTGTCAGGTTCTGTGGTTTTTGCTTCCCGCAATCGATTGGTGTCCTTCCTTTGGGCCTTGCTTTTCAGCGCCTGGCAGTACCCTCTCCGTTCTGTTCAAGGGTCCTCCAGAAGACTTCTGTTCAGAAAGTGGCCTAACACCCCGATTGGCAATGGATGGTTTCGAATCATGGGTGAAGAGAATGGGGTGTCTTTTGTGTTTTGCCCACATACCCTTCTCAGGTTGGTTTCAGGGGAAACCAGCAAGGAACCACAATTTTGGGTGGATCCCCTACGTGGCTGTGGGTCAATGCGTACCCAAAATGGCTTGCCCTGATAAATGGAAGAGACTAAAACCAGCGGTCCAATTCCTGGGTTTATTTTTGACCCATACCCTACCTGGGAGCCCTCAAAAGGGCAGGTCCTTGAGTCCACATCGAGCGCGCGACCGCCAGGTCCTGCTGCAGAATTGCCACTTGGCGCCCAGCTTCATGCCGACCCTGGAGTCCATTGTGCCCGACCCAGACCGATGCTTTTTGTTTTTTTTTCTCGGTTTTGGGGTGAGCCATGGAGCGGCCGATGGTTGTTGTGGTCGTTGTTTTTTGTTTAGCGGCTCACACGACTTTCAACCACCAAGGGATGGAACCAATGATTTTTTCTTTTTCGCATGTCCTGAGCATATGAGTGTGTGTGTGTGTATATTTTTGTTGGGTACCCTTTTTAGGGTTGGTTTAAAGGGAAACCACAACAAAAACCACCATTCTGCGGGGATTCCCCCGAAAAAACAAGACTCATATGTTGGTATTCCATGGCTCGCAGCATTTTCCCCTTTGGAGATCACTGGATGCACTCGTTGAGGTGGAGAAGATGGATCCTGAGAGCATGAATCAGGAGCCCTCCACTCGCTTCCCAGTGGTTTGAGGCTGATAGGATCTGTTCCTTCAGCCCCAGGGGTAGGTCAATGGGAAACCACCTCGGTTTCTGAGTTAATGCTGTGGATGGTGGCAAAATCCATGTCGCACCTCCTAAGAAACCTGGGAATGAGTCGATTCCCCCGCAAATTCCAGCTCAATTGTTTCAACCATGGTTTCAAAGTGGTGCGACGGATTTCACAAGCAACTAATGATGACCCCAGTTTGCTCGATGTCTGGCACGCGTGAGGCAATCGTTGTCAACGGCCATGTTTGAAAGAGAGGCGCAATCAAAACCCGGCCTAGGTGGAGTTCCGAGAACAGCCCCAATAGAACAGGCGTCGCCATTTCGATACCTCTCCAAAACCAGGCTTTAATTGTGACTCTCCCTTCACTAGCGGCAGGACTTCCGCCTTTGGCTGACGGCTTGTCCGTCTCCAGCATTCCCCATCTCCATCTTGCAGATGGGCCGCTTGGAAGGATTGGCAGCGGATGGTGTCAATGGCACTGTGGCTCCCCCTTAGAACAGTTGATCTCATGTGAGCTTCCCTACATGATCCCAGCCCCTGAGTTTTGTGCCACATGAGAGATTTGCAGGTGAAGAGTTTCTATTGGGCCTCTCCCCAAAACACTACCCGCGAAACTGAAGATATGCAAGTAGACCTTCGAAGTCGTGGTACTCGTAAGGTGATCCCCCGAGTTGCCCTCTGGTTTGGGTGGAAAAACACCCACCCGCCCTCGAGAGTGTCAACCCGAGGTATCAAGATGACCATCGAGCCGCCCAAGGGGCTGAAACAGGCCCTGCTTCGAGCATACTTGGGCTTTGACGAGGAATGGCCGGGGGCCTAACGCGAGATCTCCGGCTCGCTGAAATGATTCAGTCCTGGATGGGGAAAGGGGGGGTGTTTCTCCTGTTCGGGGTTCACATGTAGAGTCAGCAACCAGTCTCAGGGTGGGAGGGATTGTTATAATTTGGCTAGGAGGTTTTTGGGGAAGATATGAATATCCTCAAACATGGCTGGCGGACATAAGTCACATGATGTCCGCCAAAGGGCCCATTTCAACTTAAAGATCATCCCCTCGCTGTCAGGTCTCAGCGCTCCGCCGCATGTGCCAAGGTTCAACAGCTGCGACAAGCCCCGGGAGTTCAAGAAGATGCGCCTAGCCTAAGTCTGCGCTGTGTGGCTGTGGTGCTCCTTTTTGGAGGCCCGGTGCCCCTTTTTTGGGATCACTGGCAAACTAGCCGCACGCCTCGCCTTTTTATCGCGGTTCCCATGGCTTCGCTTCGAGGCGAGGCGGACAGCTGGGGGTTTGGAGAGTCCCTCCATCCAACCTAGGGCCTTCCAGGCGCTTAAGACGTGTTCTTCGTCCTTTGTTGGTTCTTAAGGGGATCTATCATATGTCCTCGTTTGTTCCATGTTTTTGTCTAAAAAAACAAAACGCAAATGGAGGAGACCGCCTCTTTGTTAAGGAGACCCCCAAAATGCCGGACAACCTGTTGGTCTCCCTTTACAACCAAAAGAGGCCGCCAAAAACAGTAAGGAGCCACGACCCCCCCTCCAAAACCAACATGGAGGTGTTTCTGTTGGTTTTCATTTCAGACCACAAAAAACATATCCCCCCCCAAAAAAAAGAAAGAAGAAAGCCACGCCATACCCCCCCCCCCCCTCCCAAAGAAGATGGAGCCACGCCACGTGGCTGTTGGGACCACGAGGCTCTTCGGACTCTGCTTCTTCCATGGCTTGATCCTGGAGCGGCGCGGCTTCGGCCCGGCCGCAGCCTGAGAAGCGGTTTTCGGTTTGGTTCCAGACGGGAGGTCGCAGTTTCTAGCCGGAGGGTGGGTGAATCAGTGGCAAGAGCCAGTGGCAAACAAAAACGTAGTATACATATACATAATATATATATATATACAGATGTATATAGATGTATATCTATATTATATATATATATATATATATATCCAGTGGCAAAAAAGCAAGGGGCAACAAAGCAGACGCAGTTTCTAGCCGGAGGTCTTTGTGGTGAATTGTATATGGGCAGTTTTCAGCATAGGGTCCCCTGATTTAAATAATTTTAAAGAAAACAACACAAGCAAGTCAATTATTTCGGGGGGGGGGGCTGATTCTAGAAACCTCCATATATCTAGCGGCAAAAAAGCAAGGGGAACAAAGCAGTCTTGAGCAAGCGGACGACATCCTTGGGTACTTGACAGGTTTTCATCAAACTTTACCTTGGACGGATTTTTGGTGGCACAACCAGTAAAATATGATATTTTGGAGGAGGAGCCAGTTCTACGTTGAACCCAACCCCGCCGGATGATACCCACTTCCAAATTAAACCCCAACAAAAACCGGCTCGCCGCCAGAACGACGACTCGACTCGACACCGTGCGGCCGTGCGGAAACCGTGCGAGGTGGGCTGGAACGTGGCCTACGGCTTCTCGGAGCCGGACCGGGAGATCTCGCGGCAGCAGCTCCGGAACTTCCTCAACGAGTTCGAGGGGGCGCCTCAGCGAGCGCTTGGTCTCCGCGCGTTTGCGGAGGGCTTCGGGATGCTTCGGGGGAACGGGAGCCGGTTCCAGGCCTCGAAGAGAGTGGGCTTTTTGTTGTGTTGCTTTTTTTCGGTGGGGTTGAAGGAGAACCCTCCCCCCAAAAAAAACGCGCGAAATCCACTTTGGAGGGGGGGTTGCGAATTCCACTGGAGAAATAAGCAGCCCCCCGTAGAAGCCCTTTCAAGGGAGGCTGTATGAGGCTGTTTACTTCGGTGGAAAAGGCAAACCTGTCTTCGAAGAGGTCCCAAAGTGTTTTTTGTACCATGGATGCGGAGACGTTCGGCTATTGTCCTTGGCCTGCCTAAGCCAAGGATTAATAAGGACTGCCTGGGGAGCGTCTCAGGGTCCCTTTAGCCGTTGCTGGGGATTAAGGATTGACCAGCCGTTGAACAGCACTGCCGCAGCTCACAGGGCTCGGGATTGCTTGGGATCAAAACTTGGAGGGACGCAAGAAGCGGCATGCTTGTGACATTTCAGCAAGGTAGTCATACCTTTCCAAACGCCAAACATTCCCAAAGCCCAAGGAAAAACACATGTTTCTACGGTGTTGTTTTTTGGGGGGAGGGGGGAGACTCTTTCAGGTTCCGATGGTTTATGGGAGGGTACCTCTTGGTTCCTTGCCAGCGGCAATCAGGTACCCTACGCTGCTCTGAATTACATGGGCTCAGAGGCCAACTATGGCGGCCGCGTGACAGACAACCAGGACGGCTTTCGCTGGTTCAACCAGCAGCGGGTCACTTGCAACAAAGTTGGACCCAGACAGCTCCCCCACCCCGCCACACCCTGAAGAAGGTACAGAGATCCATTTGCAGTTGTCTCTCTCTCGGATGCAGAGCGACTCCGCGCGACGCAAAAAAGCATGCAAAACGAAACAATGGCACTTCAGAGGAAATCATGAGATCCATTTGGCTGTGGGTCAAAAATAGGTACCTTAGCAGAACCCTGGTAAATGGCAACATGGACTACAACCTGCGGTCCCCTGGTGGTTTAATTTTGACCCATGCCCAGTTTCAGTTGACTGTTTTCCCTTCTTGTGGCTCTCCATGGGCCTTGACTCTGCCAGGACAGGCGCCTCATCATCACGATCTTGCAGGACTGAAGCGAGCAGGCTGAAGCTCCTGCGGCTAGAAAAGGCTCAACTTGGAGTCATGTTCACTGTTTTGTTTTTTGTTTTTGTTTAAGGGGGGTATCAATGTCAGAAAATGGTTGGCTGTTTAATTTGTTGAATACTGGTTGCCCCTTTTGATCCGTTCACCCATACCCCCTTTTGTGAATCTTACATACTGGCACCAGAAGAAGCAAGAAGCAATACGAGCACCTTTTGCAGGGACCTTGTCAACCAGTGCTGTATGTTTCAGCAATGCTCGAGGGCAACACGTTCCAACAGGATAATTTCACGTGTTAAACTGCGAGGCAGCTTGGCCAATCGAATCAGTTTGTGAAGAAACAACAACCATTTTCGAGTTCACTCCAAGGGTGCTTGTACATACCCCTTTTACATACCCCTTGGACACATGAACCCAAAAGGCTTGATGTTCATACCATATCCTCTCCCCATTTTGGGGTATATACCCCTAAAGTGGGTTGGAAACCACGGAAGCCAAGGGGTACTTCCACCATTCTCCAGCTCGCAGGACTTCTACAACGCGAGGATCCTGGACGATGACTACAAGTTCTCCATCTCTGGCCCGGCCCTCATGTTCCAAACGGCATCCTTACCCAGTGACTGGTAGCACATAGCTCGGGATCCCACCGGTTTCACCTTGGTTCGACGGTCACAGTGAAATCCATGCGATGCTTGGCAAGAGGAGGATCCAAATGCTCATATGCCGAGCTCTCGTTTCATGGGGAGAAAGCCATCATTTCCATCCACGAAGGTCCGGTAGATTCCTCATGTCCGGTTCTTGGACTGGCTATGATAGGGAACCACCTGAAAAGTGGTTGGTGGACACAACTCCCCACCTAGATGATGTCCACCAAAGAGTCCGCCATTAAACTTTGGATTCCACACCCAACTGTCGCAGTTTCAGCCGTCTTGCGACTGTGAGGCATCTACTTCGCGCCGAAAGCACCAGAGTCTTTGAACTTCTACTTGGATCAGATCAGGCCCTTTGCACCTATCAGGGGGTCATGAAGTTTATACAACGGGAAATAGCCTTAAGAATGGGGAACATCAATCCCAAATAATGTTCTCCGAAAGGTCCAATCAAATTCATTCCTTTGTGCACCCTTGGAATCAGTGACCCTATGTTGCATGGAGGCTGAGGGACCACGCAAAGTTGACCATTGCGAGGATTGGTGGTTTGAATGGAAAACCAACAAGGAAGCAACAATTTCGGGGGCGTCCCCTAAACCAAAGACACCCAAATGTGTTTGAAATTTCCCTTGAAGCAAGCCAGACTCGCAAATGATTCATGCCTCGAGCTCAAACGGAACAGACCCGGCAGGGCGCTTCCGATCAGTACGACTCCGGAAGTCTTCTGGCTGCACAACAACGCGAGCTTGACAGCGGCCCTCGCCTCAGTTCTGCACAAGTACGTTATTCACATATTATATACGTCTACATGAAGTTACATAAAATATATATATATATATTATAATATATATATATATATTATAGTAGGGCTCAGTACCCCAAAGAAGACTCTCAGAACCCTTCAGAGCCCCTCAGCTCAGAAGGTTCGATCAGAGCGTCGTCGCAAACTTTGGTCTCCTCGCTTCTCGAACCGGTTCCTATGTTGTTTTGCTTGTTTTTCTTTGTGTTGCATGAACTTGCAGAGTGGAGCTGGGTGAAAGTAGATGGCGCACTTCCCCCCCCCGTTTTGGTTTGGTCATCCCTTTTATTTCCATAAAGGACATCGCGGCATCGGTTGCACCTTGCTTCAAGCGGGTTTGTGCTTTTGAGGGTATTTGAGGGTGCTCTTTTTGAGGTGGTTTCAAGGGGAACCAAAAGGAACACAACAATTTTTTGGCCCCCCTATTTTGACATACCCAAGTGGCCCAAGTGGGTTGCCTGAGGCCATCAATGAAGGCATGTACATCACCAGGAGCCTGGCATCTCGCAGCGTTTGCAAGACCTTCGCGTGGGGAAGGGAACCCTCCCCAAACTGTTCGGGGCAAATAATACGTGACACACCTCTATCCGCAGTCTGAACAGAGGGGTGCCGATTTTTTTGTGAGGCGACCCCCCGCAACGGTGGTTGTCGAGTTGGTTTCCCTTTGAAGCCAAGCATAGGGGTACAAAAGATACACCCATATTTTGTTCCTTCCCGGAGCAAAGAAAAGAGAGCCAAGTGATGCAGGAGCTGCCTGTCGCTCATGAGCTCCTTCGGTCATGTCCTCAGCACTTTTGCCGCTTCGCAAGATGGCGGGGTTCCTTTGCAGTTGGGTGAAAGATGGCACAATTCCCCCATGGTGAGTCATCTTACCCACCTTTGTTGCATTTTGCTTGGATGTTAGGACATTAGCTTTTTGCCACCTAATGGATTTTCCATTAAACCTCTAAAAGTTGAACTTTTAGCAGGGGAGCAGAAAGCAACCGAGCCACACAACGGGAATTGTGCCATTTGCTTGATTCACCCTGGCGTAGATGGTGGCAAACAAAAAACGTGTCGAGCGACCACAAGGCCCCCATCCCGCAACGCTTAGGGAGTTTGGCTTCAAACCCCTTGCCTCAGAGACATGCAAAAGGTGCAAGCTCCTCAGCGGATGATGATGAAGAAGGGGCGAAAGTCAAGACGGCAGAGGACCAATTCGGGGCGCTGGGCACCGAAAGGCTTCAGATCATCTACACTCGGGGCTTGAGTCATGTTTGAGCAAGAGCTTGACTTAGCCCAGCTGCCCAAGTGAATGCAGGAGCGGTACTCGGAAATCGCCGGCGAGGTGGCCGCGAAAGTGCCGGACGCTTGCCTGCAGATGGTGCTTCTCTTCAGACCATGTGGAGAACTTGAAAACCCCAGATTTTTGAGATCACTCACAATACCAAAAAACCCTCCCTTCCACTAACGTAGCAACTTAGGAGGGTACCTGGAAGATCAATCTCCTCGTGGAGGGACCCTCAGTGCCAAGTTAGTCGGAGAGTGAGTATGAATCTGAGACCTTTTGGTGGACCTCATCTAGGCAGGGATTGATGTCCACCGACAACTTTTGAAAGGGTCCCCATGAAATTTCATACCTTCTCATACCCAACCACAACCATCCCTATGTGCTTTGCCCTAAGCACGCTTATGTTGGGTGTGTGTGTGTGTGTGTCAAAATGGGGTGGGTTGTTTTGCAAAGAAGGTGTGTCGTTTTTCAGGGCCCCCCAAGAATGGTTGCGGTTTTCCTGCAACGGCTTCCCTTCAAAGCCACCAACAAACGGGGTACCAACTAAAAAAAGTAAGCGATGAGTCACCCAGACGGATTTGGCCGTGGGTCAAAACCAATGGTACCATTTTGGGGTAGGTGAATTCACCACCCATTTTAGAACCTATTTTAGTTGGGATGTTCACTGGGGACTAAATCCGAATTGGATTTTGAAAAGCCCATGGCCATTTGGCAGTGGCAACCAACAAACCGGAATTCCAAAATGGGTTGCAAGTAATTGGAAACATGGGTACCAAAACCTGCGGTTTGCCCCTCCTAGGGCTGCTTGGATGGAAACAAGAACCAAAACCTGCGGTTTGCCCCTCCTATTTAATTTTGAGCCACAGCCTGGTTTGGAAACCCTGTAAACCCGAAGCAGCCATGGGGGTTGAAACCATTTGGGGGGTGGTTCCCCCGACTTCTCAGGAGCCCTTCGACCTGGGCTTTGCGCTACGCACGTACCCGGTGCGCTACGACGAGTGCCTGAACACGGTGCTGCACATGGAGCTGGGGAAGTTCAACAGGCCAGCCGTGTTCGACTGGTTGGTTTCAAAGGGAAATCCGTGGGAAGGGGTGGTTGGTTTCAAAGGGAAATCAAATGAAATCAATGAAATCAAATGAAATCAAATGAAATCAAAGTTCAACTGGTTGGTTTCAAAGGGAAATCAGTGGGAAGACCACCCCCGATGCCAACCATGGCGAATGAGTGACAAGCTGGTTCTTATACTGCTTCTGCTCGTTTCAAAGGGAAATCACATGAAATCAATAACCACCGATGTCACCAATGGCGAATGAGTGACAAGCTGGTTCTTGGTCCCTACTTTCAACACGGTTCCCTATATTTCCCGTGGATTTGATGTCACTGTTTGCACTTTTTTGAGACAACAGAAAGTGATAATCCTTTTGGTGATGTGTTGAGGTTGAACGAACATATTAGGGAGGGAGGTGGCTTTTTTAGAGTACCACCCCCCCCCCCCCCGCAAAAGGAGTTATTTTTAAGCGGCACTCATCCGCTATGTTGACACACACACACACACGCACGCACACAAGGCACCCTGAAATGTTGGACCTCTGCAATGTTTGCCCACTTGCCCAGTGGCACCCTGTTTCTTTTTTTTGGGAAGGGTTCCCCTTGACACTCAACCAACCAAAAAAAGGATGCCTTTTTTCCCATGGCCACTGGACATCTGAGCTTGAGGGACTCGCTTTTCCAACTCGGCACCTGCCTTCTGGACCTCCATGATGTACTTCTTGGTAGCCAAAACACCATCGGCACCGTTTAAGCAAAACGAGTGGGTCCAAATATCCCGGTCTTTTCAGGTTGGACATATCGTTGGACCCTGCAATAGAACTGCGCACCCTTGTTTATTGGACCTCCATGTTTTCTCTTGGGTTAGCTTCTTGCGAATCCTGGTAGAAGCTTCCAAAGGTTGTGGCAAAACGCCTGGAAGCGCTGGGCCTAGCAGGGGCCCCCATTCATGGTTGTTGTTGGGAAACATTTTACATTTTTGCTCATTGTGGTTTAGAGGGAAATCCAACCACTTAACTGCTAAAAATTGAGAATTGTTGCTCCCCAAACCCAACGTCGACCAAGCATTGCCGATGTTACTCGGCAGGCTGCTGGTTCGTGTGAAGGGCACTTGCAACAACCTCATCAAGGCGGCTTGGAGGTACTCACGAGACCTTGGGCTCCGTTTTTGTTTTCTTGGGCCGGACAAGGAGGGGTGGGGGCAGGCCAAGGAAACCCGAAAAAGCACCACTTGTTGCTTTTTGCTTTTTGTTTCGGGGGGCTTTACCCAACTTGGTTTGAAGGGAAGCACTTAAAAGTCGGTTTGAAACTCCCTCAAAACGTAGGTGTGCCCTTTTCAGGTGATTCTAAAGGAACACCAAAAGGAACCACCTCGTGCGGGTCACCCTTCCTAAGGCTCATTCGTCCAGACTGTCAAGAAGACCCCCAACCAGTTCCTCCCAGTTTTGAGGACTCAAAAGCCATCGGGAGCCTCAGGGCCATTTTGACACCAAGCGCTTGATTCAGGTCAGGCTTGGTGAGTAACTTGGAGTAATTTGGGGAATGGGGTTGCTGTAGAGGGTAAAGCTCTCAACATGCATCGGACGCAGGTTGGCTGCCTGTTCATGCCGAGCCCCAAACGGGGGGTTCCCCGAAGCAGATGGGAAGGTGACCCCAGTGCTCGGTATGGCGAGCTCTAGGTTTTTACATGTTCCAACTGGCAAGCCCACTATTAGTGGTTTCCCCCCTGGTTTCCCCTTTTTCTTTCCCCATGACTTCCTGCAAACTTTGGTTTCCCGATGGTTTCCCGATGGTTTGCCCCATGGTTCTGGGTGAATTATAACGACCTTACACGACCTCACCCGCAATCGTGGTGGGGAATATCCCTCCAGCCACCTTATTTCAGGCTGGTGAAATATTATTCACCTAGATGCTTCCCAGCGAGATTCGCCGCTGCCGCACGGTGAGATTCAAATTTTGCCGAGGCAGTGAAGGGCCTGGTGGTCTTCTCCCCCGAGCTGGAGGCGGTGGCCGACGGCTGTGCCTCGCGCGGGATCGGGGGGTTGGGGGTGTATTTTATTGCTGGTGCGAAATCGGTCGGGAAGGAGAAATGGAATGAACCTGGGGGTTCCTCTTAAAGGAAAACCATAAGATGGATGGTTGGTTGGGGTCATTCCGTTTCTCATTCCCAACTGAGCACCAGCAAGTCTTGTTGGGAGAGGAAAACCGTTTTCTGGTTGGTTTTAGGGAACTAAAGGAGGTAACCAAGGGAGGTCACCGGTGTTTGTTTTGGGGGGAGGTAACCAAGGGCGGGCTTGCCACCTGATGTAAAAAACACAATTGTGAACAAAGCAAAGGACATGTGTGGAATTTGTGTTTGGTCTCGATGAACTAGGACATATTATATTCTTTTGTGGCTCGTGGCAAGTGGAAGCGGGTATTATGATGTTGTGTTTGACCGAAAGCAATTCGTGGGTATAATGTATTGAGTAGCACATACCGTGGATTGCCAGAATTTTGCCCATAAACCAATGACCGAGAATTCTTGGATGGCCATGGGCCCCTTATGACAAATTCGCATGGCGAATTTAGAGTCCGAGCCATGGCAAAGAGTCGCCATGACAGCAGTGTTGATTCACCATTTGCGAAGGTTGTACTGCCTGGTGATAGTTGGGGGGGGGGGCCCGGGGGGGGGCCTTTTGTGGTATTTGCTTTCGCTCCGGCCGTAAAGAACCAACCAGAAAAGCGGAGTCCCTGGGGTCCTTTGCCAATGGATCCACTAGCCACAGGGCTCGTTGGCTTGAGGTCTGACGAACAAGATCCCGGAGCCTTGGATGGGCGTGTCCTACCCATCCCTGAAACCGCCGGAAGCCTCAGGACAGGAAAAAGAGTTAGACCCGCTCACAGAAAAATAAATTCCTCTCCTTCAAATTTACATGGACCCCCAAGAACCCATGTGTAGCGGCAACTCCTTTTGAAGGGATGTTTAAAGGTTTCATGTTAATTTGTAGGGGAGTACATCCCAAGTTGCTTTATCTTGGATTTGGTTGGCACGAGAATGGGTTTGACCTCCAGGAGCCTCAGCCGAAACGCTGAGTTGTTCCTTTAGGATGTCCTTCAGATCAGCTTCAAAAGAAGACCTGTTTGTCTACGAGTGCCCGACAAAACGATCGACAAAGCACAGAACACGAAACCGGATTCCGATTTGTGCGTGCATAACGAACGATTTTTTTGTCAAACAAATGAAGAGGCATGGACATGACTTCTAAGCACATGTTGCGTGCGAGGGAAAGCCCAGCGAGAGCGTTTTGGCTTGTGAGTCGCATTCAGGCTGCAGTCCTACGTCGATGCCACTCGATTGCAGTGAGATTTCTCAAAAGAAGGGAACTCCAGGTCCCAGGGGTATGAGAAACACTCCGGTGACACATCCCCAGTTTTTCCTCACCGGAGTCGAGAGTGAGCCGGAGTGTTGCGGTTGCGTCTGCGGAGCTAAGGACTTCCTTCAGAGGTTGAAGTTCATGAGCAATTGGATCAAGGACTCGGAGACCTTAGCTTTTGTACTTGCAGTCTGCTTGACATGCCCAGGACGGCATTCCCTACATGTTCTGGTTCTCTGCCTACTTCTTCCAGCAGGACCGCGCATTGGCAAAGGACCTGATCGTTTCCCCTTTGCCTTTGACCGAAACATTTCCACGTTGAAATGGATACCTTCCACTTCACTGTTCTTGGGATGTATTGTGTTCTTGGATCCGTTCGGTCAATCCAATTGCGCTAGGCGTTCCTGACCGGCGTCCTGCAGAACTTCGCCCGAACAGCTCCTCGCTTTGAAGATCCGAATCAAGGGAAGGTGGCTTCACTTTGGCTGGTGCGCACATGGAGGTTGCTCAAAAGGTCCTTTACGCGGGACGACCATCAAAGAAACCACCAAACAAAAACAACTTCACCTCATGGGAAAAGTTACCCATGGTCAAAACTGGGGCCCTAAAGGGAATTCTGATCAACCCTGTGTTTTTCTCAGCCAAGTCCAGCTTCAAACCCTTCCCGTTTCCCCCCATCAAAACACATATGGCCCTGGCCGATTCTTGCAGGGCCTTGGGGAAGGGGGATATATAACTCAGTTGCCCAAAGCCGACCTTTTGACCTTTTGGTTTCTCCTTTTTGGTCTAGTTTTAGTCATGGCCCCAACAGGGTAACCTTTTATTTCTGGGTCCTTTGGGCAAGTGAGATAAGGGAGTGGTGGGGTTCCTTTGAATTTTTGGGCTTGGCATGGTGTTTCTCGGAGCCATGGCTCTCCATGTCTCGCATTAGGACAAGATTGCCATCGACCGCTGCATCTGGAACTTTGAGGCGGTCATTGCAGATCTCTATTCTTAGGATGTGTGTGCCTCTTTTTTTGGGACCCCTCCACAATGGTGGTTGTCTTTTGGTTTCCCTTTGAAACCCACCAACAAAGTACCAAGTCTAAAAAAGGCAGACGGTTTGGGAATGGGATTCTTCGAAAGGGAAACCGCAAGTGGCTAGAAAATCCGTTTCCTTGCCCAAATCAGACAGTTGTGGGTTGTTTAGTTCCCGAATTTGGAGACAGGCCAGTTTGGAGAAAAAAACCTTGCCTGCAAAGGGAAACAGAAGTAGGGGCATCCACTTGCAAGGTCTCCAATTCCATTTTTGATTTCTTCGAACTTTGCGTGGAATTCCCCGCAGTTCCATTGTCAAGGGTCTGGGGATCCCACTTGTTTATAGTTCCCGCAATCGCCTCTGCGGGCACAGGCGGACGAGTGTGTCGTTTTCGTGGCTATTGTTTTGATGGGCAAAGACAAACCAAAGGAATCAGCCTGTATTTGGGGCTCCCCCCACAAGACGAGCCTGAAGAGAACGAAATATATTCCTGCTGCGACTTGTCCAAAGCCGGGCTTTTGACCTCTTCTTTCCCATCGATCCGCCGGGAGAAAGTGCGCCCGATCTTGTCGAAACTAGCGGCTCAAAGACTGGCAACACCCGCCGGTTTTTCAACCCGCCAGGTGCTGAAGCTGGCCTTCAATCCGGAGGAGTACCCCAAGAAGGCCGACTTGAGATCGCTGCCATTGAGTCAAGTGCGGCGAGGCGGTTCGCTATAGAGAAGCCTTCGGTATGAATTGCTACCTCCAGGTCGTACATGGTAACTGGAAGCACCGGGTTTCAGATCAGCTCAGAAAGTGGGCTGACGCTTTGCCTTCGCAAGTGAAGCTCACACATTTTCAGAGTTCCGACAGGGCGCCTACATCAATGGCTTGTTCATGAGCGGAGCCCGCTGGGACGACGACAACATGTTCATCGAAGACTCCTTCCCCAAGGCAGGAGTTGTAGCGAAAGGCATGTGAGCAATCCAAGCCAGTCCCAACTAGCAAGAGCATATCACAAAAAGGCTTTTGATGTCTGTTGATTCTGTACCATGCGTTCTGTGCCGGGCTTTTGAACACCGTTTACTCTGTACCATGGTTTTGAGCAGATTTGAATGCCTGTCATTCTGTACCACGGATTCGTGCCGGGAATTGCTGGATTCTGATACTGCAGGTTTTGTGAGTCATGTTTCAGGTGCTTTGGGCTGAGATGTCTCCGATTTGGCTCAAGCCGGTCCGGCGCTTAGAGCGATGGCGAGCGACGCGTCCAAAGCAACGATTCCCAGTGACCCAGACCCGCCCGATAGCGGGGTGGGGGGGGGGTTCTTATTCGTTTATCAAGGGGGAGGGGGCTAGGGGAAGGGGTGGGCCTATTCAAGGGGGGGCTTCTTGGTGATGCTGGGGTTGTAATTGGCAAGAACCAGTTGTTTGTACACTGACTTGAACCAGCAGAAGTTGCCCATAGGTGTCCTTTTCAGCTGAGTTTGGCATAAACTAGATGGCACTGGTTTAGATTGGTTTTGTTACATGTACCAGGGCCGTCTATTTCACCAAAAGGACACCTATGGCAAGACCAGTATGGCTGTAGCCGGGCTATGACTCGCTCTGGCCCCTGATGTCCCACTGTGCGACCCGCAACTTGAGGTTGAGAAGTCAGAGGACGGGCACGACTACGACAAGCTGTATAATGCTGCTTGCATGGAATCCAACCGATTTTTCGTGTGGTTTCTGTTTTGAGGGTACATGTTGGGCCTGTTTGAAGGAAACCAACAGGAACCCTGAAGCCTAAACTTGAACAAACTTCTCGTGTTTGGAATTCCCCTGAGACAAACCCATCTTCTCTGTGCGCCTTGTCGCCTTGTTCGCCTGAGGCTCCGATCTACAAGACTTCTGAGCGCAAAGGTGTGCTATCCACAAGACGCGAGCTCAGAACGCTTGACGATGATCTCTACATAGCTTGGCAGCGAGGGCTTGCTTGGCAGTTTGTTTTTTGCAAGGTCAATGCTTGGATTTGTTTTTGTCCACCTGCGACTGGCACAAGCAGTTTGGGCGTGCACTAGTGCTGTGATATCCTGATTGCGCAACCAGATTGTTGTTTGGTTTGATTGCATTTCCTGTGCCCCTTGATGAATATACATATGTGTGTATGCATACATACATACATATATATATATATATATGTACCCAGTGCTTCCAGTTAGCACTACAGTAGGTAGCCAGGTATGGCTACCTCTAGGTTTTACATCATGATTTCCCCTGGTGACGTAGTATAGTTGCTTGCCTGGAACCACTGGGTATACATGACACACATTGCAGTATCATGCATCATGCCTACAGTACACAGTACCTGTGTGTGGGTCAAAATTAAACCACCAGGGAAACCGCAGATTTTAGTCCATGTTTCCTCCTACCAGGCTTCCATATTGGGTACCTATTTTTGACCCACAGCCACACAGGGTATACAATCCCAGTGGAACCTACTGGGTTTCTGGGGTACGTGATTGAGGTTTTGGACCGTGACTGAGGTGGTCACTCCTCCAACTTCATCATGTACCTGGCGATTCCACACTCCTGCAATGGCGTGCACTGTATCCTGGTTGAAACGTTTAAACGGAGTGGGCGCGTTTGTCTCAAAGAACGGCAACGCCCGGGTTAAACTAGTCCTAGTCGGTGAACGGGGAGAGGGTCCCTTTCAGTGGCTTATGATGGGAACCCCAGATTATAATCAACTCAGCTTAACAATGGGGCGTTATCAGGTCTTTAGTGGGGGTGTGTCAATCCAGGGATTTGGACAACCATAAGAAAGCGTTCCTTGTAAGGACCAGAGGACCAAGTGACCGTGGCTCATGGATCCAGCAGCCATGTTGGCAAAGTGTCAAGTTGTCACTGAAAACCTCGTACCTTGGTTGAAGGGGCAGGGTACTTAGTGGGTAATTAATAACCATGGTTACAAGTGTCCTAAGTGGGTTATAGCCAGGCTTACCTTACTAACCGCTTACCAAGTGCCCTGCCTCTTTGAGTGAGTGCTGCTCATGACCAGATCACACGGACAACATGGACCGTCTTTGTTTGCTAGACTTTGTTAATTTCGCACAGCATACGGAGGCGAGCACTTAGATACACTGCTCCACCTGGCTCCCAACACTGTTCCACTTCGCCCATGTTGGCTATCACTATTGATGTGGAACAACTCTTTTAAACTGCAAAATCCCAGGATGTGTTTATGATGCTCAACAATTCGGTGCATGTCTTCAAATTCCAGGCGAGGAATTCTGGACGAAGAGAGGCGTGGCGCTGATTTCGCAGACCGACGATTAGAGCGCCTCGGCTGTGACCTGGCACGGCTTCTTGGTCGATAAGGCCGCCTTTTTCACCTGAATGGAAGCCAAATGGGTGTGGCTCAAAATTAAACAGGAGGGGCAAACCGCAGGTTATGAGGGTTCCATTTTGGTACCGGTTTTTGAGCCACAGCCAAATGGAAGCCAAATGTTGATGCATGTTGTTTTTTTTTGATCATGGAAAGCCAGCTTTTGGAGGGTTCCACAATTCTGTTGAGACATAACATGCCGCAGCACACGGCAACGCACTTTGCTGTTCGAAGCTCATCCATGAGGTCGAAATGGGAATGGAATGCTACATGAGAGACGGCGGTTGCCCGAGTAGTTGCATTTGCCATCGAGGGCAGAGGCAACAAGACTGTGGCAGGAGCTGTCCAGTCTCCGGAGCATCGCTGGATGCACGCTTGCTATTTTTTTTCCCAGCAGCAGTCTCGAGCAGGCAGTCAGTTCTGTTTGGCTACCCTCAAAAAACTTCCATGAGCATCACTCCACCAAAGGGCTGCATGTAAGAGGTGAATTGCCCTGCTGCTGAAAAACTTTCCGCTGGCGAACGTCAGCTTGTCGCTGCCAGCGCGCTGAAGTTTGTGCCTGGCAAGCGCTGGAATGAGCCGGATAATGCATGTGGGTTCGAAAAAAGGCATCCGATGAGTGCCGCTGAGTTTCAAAAAATCCGCGCAAGCGCAAGTTTACAGGCGTCCGTTCGACCGAACAAATGGGCAACAATCCTGGTAAAGAACCAAAGGGATTCTTGACGTAAGAAAGAACCCAACAGCCATCAGTTCGGGTTTGAGAGGCCTCATGCAATGAACAGCAACTTCAATCCACGCGTTTTATCGCGGAAGCAGACCAAAAACGTTCCCTTGGCTGGCTTCGAATCTTTCTTGTGACGGCATTCCCTGTTCAAAACGAAGCGTGGGCGGGAAGGATCGCTTGTCTCGCAAAGAAAACATGTAGTTGGAGCATTGGCCGGAGGATTGTTTGGCGCTCTTTTGACCCGGAAGCTCTGGGCACGAAAGCATTTGACGGGCAACAAAAAAAACCCGTAGCAAATGTGGATTCGATTTGCTGTGGTGGTCTCTAAGAGAGCTCCCAGTCAACAAGGTACTGGGCCTCAACAAAACGTCTATCGGGCTGTGCCCCAAAAGATGTTGGGATACGTACTTCAAACCTTTGCCAGCCCTTTTTCTCAAGCACACGAAGAAACTCGACTGGGTGTCAAATCCAGACAGCTCTGGGCGGAGGGCCCTAGACGTGGTTGGGGTTATATCATGTTTCAAGCTGCAAAGAAACAATCGGCGTGCAAGGATGTGCTTGTCCCTTAGGGGAGCCCTGAAAACGGGTGGTTTCAACCTTTGGTTCCCTTGCAATGCCCAAATGGTACCCCCAACCAAATGACACCCACTCTTGGGGCCGCCTTCTTGCGTCAAACAACACACGCTGCCGGGTGAAATGAGGCTTCACGCGGGTGTGGCGCGTCTTTTGCCAGTGAAAAGCAGATTCTGTTCACAGCCCTTGACGCTTCCAGTTATTCTAGCTGGTTGACCCACACGACCTTTTGCCCAAAGCTTCACAGGGGGGGAAATTGTGGTTTTTCTTTCTTTCTTTTTTTTGGGGGGGGAATTGTGTTTGTTTATTTTGGCTTCCCTTTGAATTGCAACTCGAACAGGGTGCCAAAAAAGGTGCAGACCCACATTGCTTGTGGTTGCATATTCTGAATCCGTGGGTTGCTCGCTAAGGCCACCGGAGCGGGTCTTCCTTGTGCCGTTCCCGAGGACGTTGGATTGAGAGCTGCATGGGAGCTCTAAATTCAATACCACAAAAGCCAGGCTCACAACATTTCCCGTGCGCAACAAATATGAACTCACAGTGGTCACATGCATCTGGCCAGTCTTCCAGATGTTGCTCTGGGTAGGATTGGTGATGTGGCCTCTCTGAACCTCAAGGATTTGACCGCCAGAGTCTCAGGGGCAGGGTGATGAACCGAGGGGAAACCCAACTCGACGCAAGGGGAAACTCAAAGCCAGAATCTCATCACGCGAGGGGAAACTCAACTCACACACCCAACGCTTGATGTGCAACTCGAAGCATCCGTACCTAGCTTCTCAAGACTTGTGAGCCTCGAACATGGGATTGTTTCCAAAAGGGTCTCTGCGTGTGCTTTTCTCTTTTTAGGGCGGTTTTCAAAGGAAACCCGAAGAAATTCCACAATTTTGTTTGGTCCCCCTATGTCCCCAAATGAGGGCCCACAATCTGGTTTGTTTCTGATATTCAATAACCCTTTTAGACACGCCCACATACCGCTGGACACGGTTGGATGAAGTATCCCCAGCTTGTTCGCCTAGCAACAGTCTTTATGCCCGATAACATGGGACGCACTAAATTGGGGTTTCCTCACTAAACCCAGTGCTTCCAGTTACCACTATAGTAGGTAACCAGGCATGGCTGCTTCTAGGTTTTTGCAGCATGGTTTCCCCTGGTTACTTACCCATAGTGGTTCTGCAAGCACTGGGAAGGAAATAACTGTGTTGGAGATGTAATCAAACTCGAGCGTGACCCTAGCCTTTTTTTGCTTGCCAGGCCGGTTGCTTTGGCAAGCTTTGCCGCTGCATTGTCGCGTCCTTGATGACCTCCCGCAGAATCAGGCGACGGTGTTGTTCAGGCAACCCCAAATTGGCGGTTTGGAATGGTGTGGGGGGTTCGAACCCCTTGCAAGAAACTAAACGGGAAGATTCGCCCTACACCACCTGATTTCTCCGATTTCGGCGTTCAAGGCCCAAAGTTCGAATGGGGGCCATTTACTTTTCAGTCAAACTTGTGCCAGGTGCCAAACCCGATTCGTGGCACTCTTCTCTGAGAGGGTGGGCACCTGAGCAGGTTCGCTGCAACAGCTTCGTTTGTGTGCGTGCATGTTTGTTTGGGGCGGCTTTAGCTGGAATTTGGAGGGACATTACTGTGCCCTTTTTGGGAGGTTCGTTTTGAGAAAGCCCAATTTTACCCTTCGTGGCTGCTCCCGTGGTCACTGTCGGAAAGGGTTTCCTGTGAAGCCTGTTTTGGGACTTTTGAGAATTGCCAATCCCGAGCCTGGCTCAGTCTTGGAAGAGGTTAAGGACATGCTTGGATTCTGCCGTTCTTTCTTGATCTTTCTTGCTTTTTATGGCTTTACGTGGAGTCTCCATGACCCTTTAAAAATGTTTGGTCATTACCGTTTGGTCATTACCCAAAATAATAATGGGATCATTGACCCATTTTCAAAGGGTCATGTCAAAAAATAGTGGGGTCATTACCCAAAATAATATTGGGGTCATTGACCCATTTTCATTTAGGGTCAGAAGGGTTATGCTGCGGGTCCAATGCTTGCGGATCCCTGGGCTCTCGCGCCAGACGCTCGAGAGCTCTGAGTTCACGCCGGCGGCCAAGGAGAGGCCTCGCCTTTTTTCCTCATGTCCCAGTCTTGGCGCTTCTCGGCGAAGCCATTTGCCAGGGCAACCCATTTTGGAGTTACCCGATTTTTGACCCCCTACCCATTTAAGGCTACTTGGTATCAGGCAACCAGGTAACCCTTACCATGTAGTTTGGATTTGGATTTGATCCTCGGTTCTGGCAGATAAGTGGGAAATCCGGTCCGGATCACCTCCAAAGAGTCCAAAAGCCATCAAGAGGGAAGCTGATTTAGGCCGCTGCAGCTGGACATCATTGGCGACGAGGCCAGCCTTTTTGGAGCACTGTAAGTTCTTGTCCTTACAGCAATTCGGCCTGGATCCGAGGCAAATTCCGCCTTGGTGTCCACCCCCAAAACACTAGCCCCAAGAGAAGCATGGGGTATACAACCGGTATATTAGACACTAAGGGATCCGTACCCCAATTGCCGTTGGGTAGCGGTTTGGGGGGTAGTGTTTAACCCTTCCAGTCAGAAGCCGTGTCCGCAGGTGCAAATGATGTATGCCGACGAAATCTGGGTTGCAGCCACCTTCCTGAAGGCCTTGCAGCGCTTCACGCCGAGCGCTCAGAGCACAGATTGGAGCCTTCAGAGTCGAGACGTTTTCTGCAAGAAGCCCCCCCCTGCCCCCCGCCCCCCCCCTGGCCCCCCGCCCCCCCCCCCCCCCCCCCCCCCCCCCCCACCCAGAAAGGTACTGGTACAGGTTTTTTGGGGTATGGTCCGAAGTACAAAAGCTGGATTTTGGACGGCAGGTGTGCCATGCAACTTATGTTTTGCGAGTCTTTCATGGGAGTTGAGCAGATCCTAACGTGTTTTGGGCGGGGGCAAATGATCACCCCGACGCCTCCAGTTGGAACGTCCCTTAGGCCGGAGAGCTGGGGCCAGTTGAAACATCACCCAACCAGCTTTGGACGCATCCTTCAAGGAACTCTGTTGACTGCACCTCACCAGTCCATAGAAGAGGCTACCTGCCGCGGAACAGAACAAGAGTGACTCAAGAGGTGTAAGGAAAGCAAAGGCTTGAGGTGGGAAGAAACCAAGCGAAAGCAACGCGCCAGAAAAACGACCAACCCAAGCAAGCAACCTAACAGTTTAAACAACAAATGAACTAGCCAAACAACGCACCAAAAAGAACCAACCAGAACCCCGGGGTGCCTTTTTTTCACTCGACGCTCCCAGCCTCACGACGCCCCCGAACCGCGAACCGCGCCCAGTGACCCCGCGCTGGGCAGCACCTGGGCGAAGAGCGCCCGCACGGCCGGCTGGAGGTGGGACCGAAACGCGGGTGACCTGCATGAAAGACCTTCCATTTAATTGCTGAAACGAATATGTTGAGTTTTCCCCGGGTTTGGTTTTACAGGGAATCTATCACGTTTAAACATGTTTCATTTCTTAGGAAGAGAAATTGAGTAAGTAGACAAATCAGTGCGCGAATGAACGACTGAGTGAAATGACATGGCATGATAAGAAATGATATGAAATGATCGAATGAAATGAAATGGAATGGACTGGAATGGAACGGAATGGAATGAATGAACGAGCGAGCGAACGAACAAACAAACGAATGAATGAATGAATGAATGAATGAATGAATGAATGAATGAATGAATAAACAATTGAATGAAATGGAATGAAGTGGCATAAAATGAAACAAAGTGACATGAAATGAAATGAAAGGAAAGGAAATGACATGAAATGAATGAATGAATTAATGAATGCATGAATAAATGAATGAATGGAATGGGATGAATGAAATGAAATAAATGAATGAATGATTGACTGAATGAATGAATCAATGAATGAATGAATCAATGAATCAATGAATCAATGAATCAATGAATCAACGAATCAATGAATCAATCAACGAATTGATTGATTGATCGTTCGACCAATCAATTAATCAATCAATCAATCAATCAATCAACCAATCAAACATTTTACATAAGCATACTGTGTACATATATATATATATATATGTATATTACATATATATATATATATATATACATACACATGTTTATGTACATACACATGTAATATGCACACAACATATCTATTCTTTATGGTTATAGACCATGTGCTGTGTTGGGTAGCGGCTCCCGGGCAGACCCGAGGGCAGATCTTATCTTGCTGGTGCTCAGCAGTGAATGAGTTGCAATGACTCTCAAGAAAACGATTTTCTGCGGCTTCCTTTACGGGAATCCCCTTCCGGTTCATTCCCAAGACCCTGGGGCATTTTTTACTGAGCATTAGTAGGTTACACAGCAACTGCTTGGAGCCGCCCCGGAATTTTGAAATCCCGGATCCTGAATCCAAGCTCACATTTCATCATGCATGGAGGTAAGTCTTAGTTCAGGCGAAATGTACGAGGAGACACGGGTCCCTCTAAGCAAGTCTTCTTGGACAGACTAGTGCTGTTGCTTCATGCAAAGAAAAACCCGTCCGGAAACTTATGCAGTTGAGCTCTCCGAGAATTACCCACATTTCGCTGTGCCAAATTGGTTGACTCCTGTAATGGATTCTACCGGTTGGCCAAACCAGCTGTTGCCCGGGGTTTCCTCAAAGAGGGATCCTCGCATTTTCTGACTTCCATTTGGTTAAGAACATTTATTATTATGTTCCCCTGTTGGCGTTGAAGGGAATTTGTCACTGGACATATTTTTATTTTGTCCGGGGGGCTTAAGCAAATGGAAGCTGAGTTACCCGACAAGCAGACCGCGGCTGGGGATCCCTCGTACCCGCTGACCAGCTCCCATGTTTTCGCGCTCGCGCAGGCTTTGCGAGGATCCCAAGGTGCTGCAGGAGCCGAAACTGGGGAGCACCTGTGAATTCACCGAAATGGCTTCCCCTGACAGGTCAGAGGGCGTCTTAAACATCAGAGAGCTGATCTGCGTTTTGTCCCCTGTTTGTGGAGTAAAGACAATGCTAAAATCTCCAAGGGACATCATGACCTCGTTTCACCCCCGGACTCGGTGAGCTCACCCTAAAAGTTAGACGGCTTTCGGGTTGGAGCTCAGGACTGGGATCCAGACCGAAAACAAACCTCGACGTCTCCGGTGGCTTGACGCACATCGGCGGCTTTGTGTCCCTTCAAATCAAGCCTGAAACGGGCCCTTAGTTCATGGGTGTTTTGCCATGGTGCTTTTGGGCCAAATTTGACATGGCCTTGTTCGCGCCATGTTCGCGCCTGCGCTGGCGACAGGACACGGGAGAAGGCACCGTCAGCCCGGCCAGTTCGGAGCACATTTTGCTTTGCTTTTACGTGTGACCTTTAATCCTGAACCTTCCATTTTTTTTGGACAAGCACTGTTTTCTTACTATCAAACAGTTTAAACTTTGGAGCGGGTGAACTGGCCAACCCAGTTCACCGGAGGCAAGCTGCGCCCAAAATCAATCTAAAGGGCGGGGGACGTGGGATTCCTAGTTTCATGGGGCGGTGAGAGTGTTCGGCAGAACTGAACATCGACCGAGGTGGGGGGGGGGGGTATGGCGCAAGACTAAAGGTTTTCAGACCACATTTTGAGTCCCTCATTTTTGAGCCGCAGCCAAATTAAGCCGTGTCGCAGTCCCTTTCCCCTGACGTGGTAGTCCTGCTGATGCATCATACTCAAAACTGAATCCGAAGCCATGCAAAGAGTAGGTCTAGTCATGTCTCATCATCACATTGGAGCGCCAGGTGGTGCTACTTCTCAAAGATACTGCTGAAGAGCAGCTTGTCTGCGGTGCGAAAGCTGTGTGCCTGAGTTCAGTACAAAGTACGCGTATTGCCAAGCATAGTATGCCCTCTCCAAAAAGGTCACAGACGGTTAAACAGCTTGGAGGCGAACGCCGCGTCACACGTGTTTTCCCTACCTGTTTTTGCGTGTTTGTCGTCTTTGGGTCATGCTTGGCAGTCAAAGGAATAATTAGGGCAGCATTGTTTGAATGCATAAATGGTCAATAACCCCATGTGTTTTGCAGAGTTGCAGTTCACTTGCTCGAAAATCTGAATCAACAAGCTGCAGCCACACACTTGCAACCATTGTTGGCCATGAATCAACCTGTGTGCACTGGCATGTGTGTTCTGTGTTCGTGTGCGTGCAAGCCTTTCACAACCATGATAACATGCCCCCCCGTCTTCCCCCCCACCCCCCCTCCCCCCCTCCCCCAGCCCTGCTCACAACTGCAACTCGACACATCACAGCCTCAAACAGCAAACAACAAGAAAAGCGTCAACAGCAACGTTGTTTTTGTTTAACCAGCCTGTTTCCTCCAAACAGCAACATGCAGCTACGATGCGTATTCATACTTATGTACATGTATGTATATATGTATATATATATATATATATATTATAATACGATTGATTGTCTTTGTCCTAGGTCGGTCGAGGATGTGCTGCAGGCTGGAGGGCGGAGGCAAAAGCCTGTCTACAAACCTATTATGGCGGTTGTCAAAGACAGAAACTAGCATAAGTTCTCTTCCAGGTGGGTGAAGTAGATGGCACAACCTCCCCATGGTTTGATCATCCCCTTTACCAGGCATTCAGGGAAGCGTGCCATCTACTTTCGGCCTAGCATTCCCTTAATCCGGTGGGGGCCTTGGATGGGATGGGTCTTAGAAACAGTGGATTTCACAAAAAGTGACATGTTTTTGAGGAGGGGTCAGTCGTAACCGAGGGATGATTTCGATGGCAAGACGCCAGTCGCCAGAGCGTCACGGCAGGGCTTGCGCGACCGAGAGAACCTCTCGCGCTTGATCATCTTGCCGGAGGATTCGCTCGGGCCTGAGACGTTCGGTCCATGGGTGTGTATTGTTTGACTAGGTCCCCCAGTAGTGCCCTTTTACCAACTTTTTTTGGGGAGGGTTCCCCTACTAAAATAGACTACAGCAAAAACGGTACCCTTATTCTAACCTCTCTACTGGAGAACCTGGTTGAGGTTGGTCCACTCAGAATGGCTTCGGCTTTCCCTTTATTTTCCTTT